GGCTGGGGCACGGCACCAGGAAGCTGAGCGCCGGGGATGTACCGATTAGCTGGGACAGAATGCCTGGTTGTCCATAAAAAGCGTCAGAGAAAGAAAAAGGACGGGATAAAATAGCAAGATCCCACTTTTTTACTGTCACTTTGACAAAGAGTGGGGGAGGGGGGGCGTAGTAATGCCGTTGGCAAGTGACAGGATGTAAGGAAACAAACACTTCTGTACATTATGAGACCTGAACTTTGTGGGGACAGTTGTCAAAATTCTTAATAGTCATACCTTTTGGCCAAGCCATACCTAGCCCTAAGATTTATTAGCCCTTAGAAGGCCAAATGCACCAAGATGTGAGCTCAAGGATGCTTCATCACAGCCTTGTGTAAAACAGTGAAAAACTATATGCAAGTAAACTGGGACTTGGTTAAGGAAATTGTGGGATAACCCATGACAGATGCTTCGCAGTCATTCAAACAATGGTGATGCATTCTAGCATTATTGCCGTAGAAAGATGGAGGATGGGGTATTAAGTGAAAGAGCAACTTACAACATTGTATGCAGAGTATACATATTTATATTTATAGAAGTGGGGTCATAGTGCCCTGTCTGTAAATATTCACAGGTATTGAAATGAAAACAGAAATGTGTTCACCAAATTATAATAGTGGTTTCCTCTATAGGTGGTATTATGAGATGACTATAATTTATCATTTTTTTCAATATTTTCTGTGTTTTTAAATAATGGGCATGCATTCGTTTCATAATCAGAAAAAGAATAAGGCTTCAAAAAGTAAGATAATAGTGGCCAGTATTTCAGTTACGATCCATGTCAGGAACCCCAGGAAATGAAAGAAGCAGGAAGACAGTGAAGGGAACTGTGTAGGAGCGATGACCATCATTCTTAATCTTGCCTACGTAACTTCTTCACTGGGACAGGTTCCATTTCTGCACGCGTCTTTGGCCCTCACACCCAGTGGGCCACCACCTCTATCCCAGTTGAAACAAAATGTTTTCAGCCCAAAATAGATAAGGTTATAAACCCATCAAAAGTAACGACCTTTAAAAAAGATTTCAGGAAGTCAAAAAGGCAAGACAAAGAAAAATGTATAAAATCTATTTAGCTCTTAGGGAAAAAAGAAACCAAATGACTACAAAAATACCAGCTCCAAAAATACCAAAAAGCTTCCACAGGAGAAAATAGAGAGCAAAGGACTGGCATATGGATGTCAGAACTCCCGTGTCAGAGAGGTTCCGGAAGCCGGCCGTGCGTCACCAATTATATTTGTCCAAGATCACTGCGACAGACTCGCACTTCCAACAACAGGGCACGTTCTTTAATGGCCCCCAAATCTCTTCTCTGTGACCAACTGATGGTATAACTATAGTGTGAGATTTTTTTCATTCCTTTCATCATTGGCGAGCACATTTTAACGTAGGAAAAGAAGGGAGAGAGAGAGAGCTGTCACAGACCCATTGTGTTCATGTGTATCTGAGACGTGTTTCCTACATGGCTGTCTTTTCTTCTCCCCTCCAGGAAAAGCACAAAGAAGCACCTGCAGCAATGGCCAAGCTGACAGAATCCATGAGTGAGTAACTTGGAATTTATTCTTGATTTCTGGTTTTGAATGAGAAACCGCAAACTCTCGCACAAACCACATCCCCTTGTGACAATCTGACTTGCCTTTCACTGTTGCGATAGCCAAGGTCTGTTTGACACACGTCACCTTATGTCGATGGTACATGGTGCATGATTCAGGAACCCATCTTGCGTGGGGTCAAGTTCTGCACCAAAGTGGTTACTGAATGTATGAATCAAAATGGATTTTATTTGCAGCACTGCACTGGGGCTCAAGACCCCGAGTTATTTCAACCTGACCTTGGGCAGGTTTGGACCAGGTCAGCTGAAGTTTTATGGGCAGATATTGCATAGGCTGGAGAATCGAAAGAGAGGAAAGGATGGTTTATTTATGATCACTAAACCTTCCAGGTGTTCCGAAATTTCAAACAGAACGATTAAAAATGGAGTGCTTGAAGTGTAAGTAGCTTGGAATGATTTAGCTTTGGTGTGGATCAGTGCTATAATGCTCTAAGCTCTTAAGCTACATAAATAGAATACATATTTTTTAAGAAGAAAGAAGAATTAATTAAAATAAATCCTTCCACAAAATGAGAAATGCAATTCTATATGTTGAAGTTTAAATATTAAAGACCATGTGGCACCCTAACCAGTTTGGCTCAGTGGATAGAGTGTCCACCTATGGACTGAAGGGTCACAGGTTCAATTCCAGTCAAGGGCATGTACCTTGGTTGCAGGATCGATCCCTGGCCCCAGTCAGGCTGCGTGCGGGAGGCAACCAATAGATGTATCTCTCTCACATGGATGTTTCTCTCTTTCTGTCTCTCCCTCTCCCTTCCACTCTCTCTAAAAATCAATGGAAAAATATCTTTGGGTGAGGATTAAGAACAAAAAAAGACCATGTGGCTGTGAAATAAGCAGACAATGCGGACTGTTTTTGTTTGAAAATAAACACTGTCCCTGGTGCTAGATTTCATTTCTAAAGTTTCAAGGGAAGCTTGCAAACACTTCTCCATTCTCATTAGGGCCATGAACACCTTATTCAATTTGACCTGCAAAAGTCACTATTAATCTTGCCACATTTAACTGGGCACCTGCTTCCTCTTCTACCACTCCTCAATTCATGGAGCTATTAAAATACAAGTGTCCTTTTGTAGCTGGTCAATGAGCCCTTATCCCCAAAGGTCTGCCCCTCACCTAGAAAAGATCATGTTAAAAAGTTCTTTACACTGCATTTCTTTCATTCCTCACCCAGAACCCCTGGCCAGTTTCATCGGTCTTGACACACACTGATTCCACCATTTACACAATGACTCAAAGGGGTGGGTGAAGACCAACTGCCCACGATATTTACTGCCTCTCTTCCACTCTCTGTTCTGTATCACCCCCTGCCCTCTCTGCTCCACCCTTCTTTCTACATGAAACACGTGCAAAGGATTTGCCACGAGGTTTAAAGACCCCCAGATGGGTTCTCTGGAGGGGAAAGGATCTTAAAGCTCTTCTCCTGCCTGACTGAAATGCGTAGTGAGGTTACCTGTACCACTGCAAAGCTGATGAGCCTGTGTCGTCAAAATACGGAGTGGGACCGCGGACAGCACCAACTAATTCACAGTGTCAGCACTTGAGCAGACTCAGTTCTAATCTCCAAGTCCAAGGACACCAACACAAAAGACCCGCAGAGCCTCTGAGAGCTGGAAAGATGGCTAGCTTGGAGCCGGGGGTCACTGTCAGCGAAGGGAGTTTTAAGTGTGTAAGGGAATCAAGCTAGTGTAGCACAGGAGTTGTGATGCTGGTTTCACAATGAGGCTCCTGGTAGAAATTCAGTGAATGTTACTTTTAACTCGCCTTACTGAGCTGTGAAACACTGAAGGCACTCTAAGGGGCCTACTGGTTCTTCAATAACGGTATATTAATTTTTATACTTCTGTTGGATCCAAATGCATTTAAATGAGAGCCGCTCGTTGGACTTCTGGTTGGTTGGTTTTAGATCTCAGGTTTGCCTCTGCAATAACTATAATGACTGATCTATAAATCCATTGGCTTAAGGGAATTCTGTCAAAACTGAATTCCAAACCCTTGGGTAGATGAAAGGGTACATTCGTTCTTCTAAGTTGCTTTGTCTTTATGAAAAGATCACACAGCCCTGACCAGTTTGGCTCAGTGGATAGAGTGTTGGCCCACACGTGGACTAAGGGTCCTAGGTTTGATTTAGGTCAAGGGCATGCACCTCAGTTGCAGGCTCGATCACCAACACTGGTCGGAGCACGTGTGGGAGGCAACCAATTGATGTGTCTCTCTCACATCGATGATGTCTCTCTCTCTGTTTCTCCCCCTCCCTTCCAGGTCTCTAAAAATCAATGAAAATATATCCTCGTGTGAGGATTAACAAAAAAAGAAAGAAAGAAAGAAAAATCACACAGATGTGTTCAATACACAAGGAAATTCAAAATTTGAGACCAGACTTTGGAATTCTACTCACCATTCCAGTTCACCGATCCTTACAAAGATAGAGAACATTATAAAATGCATAAGACATGCTCTAACTCTTTTAGGCTCTCGCTATGAGCGTTCATGAGGCAGTCAATACTGATAAATATTTCATCAAAGTTAAACTCATGAATAATGTTATATACAGCTCCACATTCATTCTACATAGGAAATCTACAAGGAAATAAATACATAATTATGTAGGGAGAACCAACCAGTTAATCAAAGGATTAACACACAAGTGCTACACACTGAATTTGATGGGAGCGTAAAACCCAAGGCCACCAGAGGAAAGGGACATAAACAGAACCACAAATGCCCAGGACATGGTGCACAGAATGGCTTTCTCGAGCCAGGAAATGCTTTGCTTGTTCAACTGCAGAGCAAACGCCATCTGGTTCCTAGAACATCCATGTTTAACTAGAACCGGGGGGAAAGCCCGAGTCTTCCATCACCATAGGGGTCGACTGCTGCGGGTGGCTGGGCAAGGCTGGGAATGGGGTGGGTGACCTCTTCATCTTCTAGAACAGGAACGGGGAACGTTCCTTTCTCTCATGTGCCATTAATCAACTTCAGTCATTTTTTTAAAAGGCAAACAAGCCCAGCTGGCGTGGCTCAGTGGTTGAGCATCAACCTATGAAACAGAAGGTCACGGTTTGATTTCCGGCCAGGGCACATGCCTGGGTTGCAGGCTCAATCCCCAGTGTGGGGCATGCAGGAGGCAGCCAATCAATGATTCTCTCTCATCATTGATGTTTCTATCTCTCTCTCCCTCTCCTTTCCTCTCTGAAATCAATAAAAGTATATTTTTAAAAAATAAAGGGCAAACAAGAGACATAGATATTTACAGGCTTTTAAATGTTTCATTGAAATCAAGTTTAATAAATACAGGGTAATACTTCAAAATATTTTATGTTACATTGTTGACATGAAGAGGTGGCCTGATAAGGAAGAAAAAAACACAGAGAAAAAAGAAAAACAGATGTGGAGGGAGAAATAGAGAGACAGCAAAATTATACATGACAAAAACACAGAGGAAAAAAACATATGTGAAAAGGACCCAGAGAAGAGCTGTGAAGGAGGGAAAGAGGCAACTCATAGGAGCCAAGAGAAGCCAGGCGGCAAGGGAGGGAGGCAGGAGAGGTGTGACTGGGATGCCCAGTGGGTCCTCACTCACCTGTGCATCGCCCTCACTCGCCACGGCATTCGCTGTGGACTTCCAACCTTCTTACCACTGCCCTTTGACATTTTAACCTCTGTTTGCATCTTGGAAACGGATAATTTCACACGTAGACTTGCTCCAAATAGTGCAGCCGAAACCCCCAGATCGGAGGAAATTGCTGTGCGTGTGCCGGTCAGTGAGCAGCACTTTCTTACCCAGCCGCTGACCGCAGTGAAGCCGACAGCCTGATCTCGTTGAGACCCCAGCCCTGCCTCTCAATAGGCAGATGGGGACCCTGCCAAGGACACCAGTCCTGTTCTGTGCTGTCATCAGCAGTGACATGGAGCGGGCAGGTCTGTCCCGGGCCTGAGGGCTAAGTCAGGCGGTGAGGATTGGAGGTGTCCAGAGGCGTGCAAACAGCCTGGACTCGTGGTCCGCAGGGAACCTTGGTAGGCGGTTCTTACATAAACTTTTTTAATAATTTGCTGCACGGTCGTGGCCGGCTGATGTATCCCCCCCACACCCCGAGCTCCTGGGAACATGTCAGCTACAGCAAAGGAGGTCTCACCACGTGGGTGCATTGGCAGTGAGGGTTATAATCACATACCTGGTCTTGTGCGTGGCAGCAGGTGAGTGGGACAGGGAGGGAGGCTTGGCCACCATGCCTTCCCAGGCTGCAGGGCCCCTTGACCCCATGTTCTGCTGCCCATCCTGGAGCCCCACTCCCACTCCTGTCTGCGTCATTCACGTGTCTGCAGTGTGGTGGCTGCCTGAGCCGCATGAATCTCCTGAGGCCCCCGCGGGAGGATGGGGGTTCGTGGAAAGCTTTATTGATGATGAAAAATTCCGAGGGTCCCATCTCTGCCAGGGACAAAGTCCAGCTGTGTCCTCAGCGAGGCCTGAATGAAGGCCCCTGTCCGCCGTGTCTGCTCCCTGAGAGAGCACAGTCCAGCCCCGCGTCTGGCCGGCTCAGCTTGTGCTCCCAGCCGCAGTCCATTGCCTGTGGGGTCCTCACGGCCATGGCCATGCGGCTGCTTAAGGCCACAGGGCTGTGGAGGGAGAACAGGTGAGTGCACAGGCGAGCGTGAGTCCTGGAGCAAGAGAGAGCAAGAGCAAGAGCAAGAGCAGGAGCAAGCAAGAGAGTGGGCTCTCGTGGGGATTTCAACTTGGCAAGATTTCACGCGTTTCTGATGGGGCCCACCTCCTGGCCAATCCAGTGTTCCCCAGGCCAGCACCTTCCCTACATCACCCCGACTTCACTGCGAGTGTGCCCCTCTCCCCCTTCTCCCCGCAGCAATCCAGTACAGGATGGGGGAGGGAGGAGCAACCCCCTTGGAGTAGCAACATGTGTGTGAGCTTCC